TTTAAAGAGATCAATAGTGGTTTCCCATGACTTGAACTCGAGACCTATTGGTCCCAAGTGAAGAGTTTAAGTTATTAAGTCTTGGTGTTTAATTTTCTCGTGAAGTTGATCCGATTCACTGTAATTGTTTTTAGATGAAAAAGGGACAACATAAACCGAAAACGAGTTCATGAGATTTTTCCTTGTTATTTGTTTTAAGTGGCGAGATAATTTAAGTCGCTTTCGTAGTACGATTCAAGTTTTATAATCTTTTGAGGCAAGATTTCACATATTTTACAGTTTTTGCCGAGTTCTTTAGAAAGAGTTGTCTTGTGCCACTAGGTATTTCATGGTTTGAGATTTTATGTTACACTTTCATTTTCCATTATGTTGGATGATTGACATGTGTACATGATGATTTCATATTTGTACACGTGTCAATCATTCAATAGAATGGACCATGAAATTGAACACGAAATCTAATGCCGTCTTTTCGTGTGTTAAGTTCTAGTTTGTGTTGTCGAAATTGTTTGTAATTTGATCTGAAAACTTGATATGCGAAAGGTTGAATTTTACTATATGTTTTATGATGGAATTTAGAGGATTCCCGATGTAATTTAAGAGGAATTTAATGCAGAAATGGAGGATATAGGAGAGAAGAAATTTATAGAGACATGAGGAAGAAGGTATGAGGAGAAGACTTGGCATAACTAATTCTGCCATTTCCCCAATGCAAAACGCACAAAATAAAGCATCTTTGGGACCACCTTGCTTACATCATAAAGCCATTAAAAAATAAAGAAAAGGAATAAATAACTAATTTAGGCCATGTAGCTAACCTGGCCCAACATTCACAACAGCTGGACCTCACCGTAATTGGGCCCGTCTGGATCACTTAGCATCAGCTCTTTTAAACCACCAGGCCCAACTAAACTGTCCATCTGTCTTTCTTCATGACCAAACTCGATCGTTCTGTCTCCTTTCGGCCTAATAGATTCACAACATCGTGTCCCTTTAAGACCCTGAAAAATGAACTGATATAGAGCTACGAGACTATATATCGTGGCCTAATAGATTCTTTTTTTTTTTTCGGAACGATAGACTTTTTATATCATAAAACACATAGATACATCTAGGACAGCTCAAAAGCCGAAAATACAGCTCAAAAGCTGAATCTAGTGGGAGGACAAATCCAAAGGATCGCCTAGAACACACACACTAACAAGACAACACAAACTCCACAACTGGAGAAAGAGCTCCCCTACGGTAGAAAGAACTCCTCAACAGGAGAAAAAGCTCCCCTACGGGAGAAACACACTCCCCTACGGGAGAACCCAAACTACAAGAAAAACAACAAAACAACACAACACGACAATCCCATTCCCGCAACGCTAATGAAATTGATTGACCGCCTCCACGAATGGCAATCTATAATCGATCGAGCCCACCCAGGTTAATCATTCAACTCCATCAGTGCCAAAAGACTGGGACTAGGCAAATACAAACCAAGCAACAACTACAAACACTAGAAAAAAGACCTAAAAGAAAACAAACACAACAACAAAAACTATAGTAATAAGACTAAACGAACAATCGCAGCCCTTCCCCAACAGAGTAACCGAGACCAGCACAAAGCACCAGCAAAATAAGGACAAACCAACCCACTGCAAGATCCGAAATCCAAAACGCCAATCCCGCCACTGCCTAAATGCCTAGCAAAGGACGGGTCCCGAACCTCGAAACCAGCGCACAACCCACCGCCCCGAATCCGACCATCACCACTGGCCCAAATCCGATAACACCGGGCATCCCCTTCTAGCACACCAAAAGAGAAGAGAATCGGGGGTTCGAACCTCATCCAGCCGAACGACCCCACTGGAGCCCGGAGCCAATAATCCGAACCCTCCAGCCGAACACAACCACCCGGGCGTCGAGGACAACAGCCCAGCCCGGCCAATCGACGGCCAACTCCAAAACCCCGCACCAGAGTTGAGGAGGACCAACAGGTTCGGAGCACCTTCTCCACCCCAATTCCTAGGACAGGAAATTGAGGTCGCAACCCTCGCCAATCGAACGCCTGAGGACCGCCGCAGCGAAGATGCCGGAGGAGAAACGGCCGCCCGAAGCCGTCCCAGCACCATGAACGGCGACACAGGGACTCGGGATTTACCATCTCCCCGGCGAAGAAGCCCCCCTCAAAACCGGCGAACTCTCGACAAACGGGCCGCGTGACCCAGTGGTGCCGCCACCGAGCGCTCGTTCAGTCTCGCCGGGGAAGGCTATAGAAATTGAGTTTGGGAAATTTAGGGATTGGGAGTTTTTTGGGGAAGACGAGCTCAAGAGAGAGAAAAAGTGAGGAGATGTTAGTATCTCAAAACACCCTTGACTCCCTAATAGATTCACAACATCGTTCATTGTATAGCATCTAAAGACTCCCTATATTTGAGTTTTTTTTTTTTTGAACTGTAAAAAAATGCTGTTTGCCAAACAACAGAATTTGAAATTCCTACCCTCTAAATCATTCTCAAACATGCAATGAGAAGTGAGGAAAATACTGATTTTTTTACCAAATCAGCCTTAGTTAAGAAAATATTGAATTTTTAAACTAATAGCTACGAGAAAATGTAGAACTTTCTCAAGATTTTTGGATTAACCCTTTTGGCATTAACTTTAGAATTTATATAATAACACAAATTTTGTTGTCAGCCATGGTTAGAGATTCATATTTTCATATGAATAATTTATATTTCTACATAAAATGTCGTATTTTTAATTATGTTGTTTTTTAAAATATAATATTTGATATGAAAGTATGTAAATTTATTGAAAAAATATGATTTAGTCAATCGAGCTGGACTTGTAATATTAAAAGAACGTGCTTCCGTCCGTGAATGTTGGATTCACACCTATTTACATGATGCAATGCTAGCTTTTTTATGGGGTGAATTTGATAACATAAAATATTCCCTCGCGCAAAAGTTCATGTTGATTATGAAAAGTCTCAGAGCTTCTGGTTTTTGAGCTTTCCACGTTCAAGTGAGTGGCTCGGTGCAATAATTTCAAGAATCATTTTTTTATTAGAATATAACACACTTAATATTCCTACTCCAAAATGATTTTAGGCTTGATATTTCATTAATTCTAAAAAAGAATATTTTGGACAAACAAAAATCCAACTCAACATTCACATAACATAAAATAAAACATGGTAACGTAGTAATCCTAATTTTTAATTAGGAAGTCAAATATTATTTGGAGAAAATCGTTCCTAAAGACTGCACAATATAGTTCGGTTATATATATTTTTCTCTTGGAAATTCTTATATTCCATTAGCTGGAACAAGTCATGGATTTTTAATAAATTTAAAATGCATACTTATGATATGAAATATTATATTTTTATTTATGTTACTTTTATAATATGATATTCAATTTAAATGCATGTATTTATGTTAAAAAAAATATAATTATCTAACACACAACATTACTACAATTTAATAAATTGAATCCACAATAGGGTAAGGTGCAAAATAAAATATATAGGATGAAATAATTGTAACGCTTTAAGTGGATAATTGATAAATTATAATTTTCATCTCGATGGCAAATGTGCTTTATTTTCATATTTGTTTATTCATGATTCGACGGTTCGAGTCTTGATATGGGAAGTCTCAATACACGTAGGGTCGATCCAAGACTGGCCATAAGAACATTCACAATGCTTTGGGTTCAATCACAAAAAAGCATATGCCACATAATAAATAGATCCAGTCTGAAAAAATTTATTCTTCAATGCAAATAAATGTAGACTGGATTCTACTGATGTGGCAGCCAAAAAAAGAGACATGTTCTACCCTTAAGTCTATTTAGACCCAAGTACAGACATAGTCTCTTTGCATTAGAGTAGATTTTGTTAATTATACATAATTTTATCCATATCATCCAAGACTTGAGTTTATTTACATGCCACATAAGCAAGACTAGACCCAATGCATTGTAGATGCTCTAAGGTAGGGCGGGTCAGGAAATTACCCAGGACCTCTATTGTTATAGGATGTGGTTCAAATGAGAACCAAGTCCTAGCGTGAGAACCGTGAGAACTGTTATTTATAGTTGTATGTAGTGCTATGATTGATTGTGTTTAGTGCTATTTTTAACATGGATTTATTTTTTTACAAATAGCAACACAATATATATTAGCATTTGTGAAAATGGTAGCATCAATACACTATAAAAAATAGCATCAAATACGGTTTTTACACCAGAACTAGTTTTTATTTAAACCACTCCCTATATATATATATATATACATATATATATATGTATATTTGAACCACTTCAAATATATATATATATATAACATTTTTGTAATATATTTATAGTATAAAATTAATTTTATTAGTCAATTTTTTTCTTGATTCTTACTTAAGTTATTTAATTAATTTTTGTCACTTGACAAATTTTATGGAATAAATAATGAGTAATCATTAGCAATAAAATTAATATTTTTTATATATATTTTTTATTCTTTTTTATTTAAGTTTTGTAAACTTTCTCTTCTTGTTTGTTGAATATACAAAATGTTTATTTCGTGACAGCATAATTCAATAATAGTACTAGTAGTCATTAATATAGTCTATCGAAATCAACTCAATTTTCAGACGAGTTTCAAATAATTGTTGTTATTCGGTTTTCTTAAATATCACAACTTGTAGTTTTTTATTTTCCCTATAAAAAATTATTAAATTTTTATTTAATTCTTTTCTCCAATGAATTTAAGATATATATTTAAGTAAATGAAAAGTTAAAATTTATATAATTTTATTTTTTTTCGGAAGATAAAAAAAGATTTTCTCACTCCTTTTCATTAGTGATTTTAATATATTGCTCAATATTTTTTTCATAAAATTAGTTTTACTTATATTTTAAATTTCACAATTTTTATTACAGCTAGTAACATTTGCCTTTTGTTCTGTTA